TGGAGCATATTTGTCAGGTGGTTTATGTATATAAGGTGGCTTTTGTCTACAAGAGATTTAGAGGGATTAGGAAGTGCATTGTGTGCCAATCACATGACAAATGTGTTGAGAACTTTTATCTGCTGTGGGGTTGAAGGGAAAGGAATGGGGGGGGGGGTGTGTGTGGGACTGATGAAGTAGTGAGTGAGTCTTGAGGTCCGGGGGGGCAAGAATGGCAAAACCAAAGGTGACCTTGTAGATATGTTCAGTTGGAGATGAGTGTAGCATATAAACATCCACACACATTATGTTCCCAACATTGCAACATTTTTTACCCCCTTCACCCTTCCTCCTCTTTGCAGTCGGAGAGTTCAGAGCAAGAGACCAGTGGAGCGACGGCAACCTCTGACCCCGCCGTGGGCTCGACCTCCATCCAAGTCAACAGCTCAGCCCTGGGACGTCTCCGCTCTAGCCCACTGACTGCATCCACGTGAGTAACTTCCATAGTGTTCTGCACCTTGTCTTGTGCCCGCCTTCCAGTCTCATGTATGTTCTCTTCGAGTTCTCATTCTCCCAGGCCCAGTTGCGTACTTTTACCGTAACCTAACCAATTGTCTCTGAAATATATTCTATTTGTTTTCTTCTAAAACTTCAGAGACAGAATCTATTAGATTTGAGTTTGTGTCATCTTATACTTTCTTTTGACAGAAAACGACTTGTGTCGTGTTTTTTAATATGTGCAGACTTCACTCCATCTCAAGGAAGTACAGTTGAACCTGTCCAAGACGACCATCCATTGTTAAGGAGAAAAATGGTCAGCTTAGACAGGTGGTCGTCTTGAGCAGTGTCTTTATATAGAAAAAGTGCTAGGGAGGATGTGAAAAGTGGTTGTATGTACAGGTGATTGTCTTTGACAAGTGCTCCTTAGAGCAGGTTCGACTGCTCCCTTTGTTTTTTGTTGTTTTTATTTTGCTGGCATCCTTTGGATTTGATAGCTGCTGACTGGGGTTTGGCAGCCATCTTGTTTTCCTTGCTACTCTTGGTATCTGTGTTTCTCTTTTTATACCCTTTATTTTGGTTTCCTGTGAACTTTGTTAGTGGGTGTTTGGCAGATGCTCTCTTTCTTCTGTGGAAGGTTTGCGGGTGCTCTGGTGTTGTATGCTTCTTTTTTCCTTTCGAACCTCTTTCGTCCTTATCTCCCCTTCTTTTTTATGTTTGTTACTCTCTTGTAACACCTCTTATCTTCTGGCGCCCTATTACCTTATGCAGTTGCGAGCGCCGTAAAACCTCTACTAAAACTATAGAAAAAAACTCTCTTTCTTTCCTATAAAAAAATCTGTTGCCCTTATCTCTCCTTTTTTTGTGTGTTTGTTACTCTCTTGGAACACCTCTAATCTTTGGCACTTAAATGACCTTATTGTGTTGCAAGTTCCATGAAATGCCTACGACAACAAAGAACTTTGTTAGGTTCCTACATAGGTCATTGCAGTTTCCTTTCAAATGCATTTTGTTTTTTGATTGCGCTGCCCCATAACTGGTGGTAACTACCCACCTCCTTTGTCTTGTAAATAATTTTCCTGACATAACTGCCACTAATGATCTCCCATGTCATGATCCCGTCCCTCTGCAGCCAAAGCCTGTCAAGCAACACCCCAAGCGAGAGTGACACGGTGGACCTCAATTCCTCCCAAGCCTCCCCTGCCCTCTCCCAGCTGTCCGCAGCCCTCCTCACTCTCCCTGCAGATGAGGTGGAGGAGGTGTGGAGGGCCCATGTGGTCAAGGTCATGGCTGAGTGCTCGCTCACACACGTCGGAAAGACTTGTCAGATCTTCCCAAGGCTCTTCCGGGTCAGTAGATTATTAAGATTCTTGATCAGTGTGCAGTTTGAGAAAAGGGATTTCAAGCAGTGCAGAATTACTGGTTATGGCACATTTCAGAGATTAAAGAGTCGCTAGTGATTTAAGGGAAGAAGGTGGAAGATAATATATTGGAGATAACTCATTTTGCCGCAATGCCTTTCAAATTAATTTGTTATTTACTCTTTGAGTATGGAAGTGTGCTTCTATATAAGGACACTTATGTAAGTCAATGTTTATGATGAACGATTGCAACGGAAAGAAGTGAATGCACTTATAATCATTCTCTGAGAAAGAGAGCTTATGTTCATTGACAATTTGTGCAATCGTGATAAATTTGGACTGGTGTCTGTTGTGTAATGGTCAGACTCTTTGCTGTTTCGTGCAAAAGATGTGAGATTTATTTGAAAGTGGGCAAGCTTGCTTTTTCATATGGTGAATGTACTCGCCTATAATACAACTTCGTGTATAATGCAGGAGTTATACTTTGACTCCAAAATTAGCTTGTTCTTGTAGGTTATGCATGTGATACGGGGAAAATTTCTGAAGTACTGGAAGGGGCTCAACATGTGTAAAATCAAGTACTGGTCGGGCCCCAAATATAATGTCTTACCTTTAAGAACTGTTGGTTGTTGCTTTGAGATTGATTTAATCTGTGAGACTGGAACGGCAGGTATTCCTAATGAGATGCCATGATATTTTGTAATAGAATAGATTTGAATGAGTGCAAGTGTTTTGATTTTTCCTCCGTACTGCGCCAGTTACACGGAAAGTTATTAACAATTCTTTGTATTTTTGTTGTTCCCCAGGAACTGCGCAAGCGTTTGACCACAATGACCAAAGAGGCATGTTACTACATCTCAAAGTCAGAGAGCCTGAAAAATGTCACGTCCCAGATCTGTATCCTTTCTCAACTCCTGATACAGCCTTGAGAGGCCTTGCATACCATAATGTTAGTTCTTGTCTTTTTCGAGTGAGTTGAGCTCATTCTCTGATATCAGTCAGGGCCCTACACAGGTTTTGCCCTATTTCTCGTTTTATTGTCTTTTTTGTATTCCTGCCCTTTGGCTGAATGTTGTGTTGTAGCTTGTTGAATTGAATTCTGTATTTGGTTCCTTATTGTTCTTTTTTTTTCAAAACCTATACGGCTAGTGGGTTGTTTTTTTTAAAAGGGAAATGAGCGCGTAAACACTGTCGACATATCAATACATACATGTGTCAAAGGCTGGATTAGAGGCTACAGGGACATTCTGTGAAACAAGTAGAAGACAAAGTTAGTCAATATGCAGTTGCTCCCTATTGTTGCACATGCTGTAGGCTTGGGAGTGTGTGTGGGTGATGGTAGGGGGGGGGGGGGGGCTTGTTGACAGAAGTCCAGCAGATCAACGCTGTGGAAGATCAAGTGTACTGCTGAAATGTTTATGTATATTCTATAACCTGTGATTCCTTAACTCAAAATCAGTGCAAGTTTTGGACCTAGTTCACCAGCAGTTGGAGTGTCCGTTCCTCTACTCTGAGTCAGATTCGGTGAGTGTCTTGCATTGTCTTTGATACAGACTTTATGGGTGGTTGAGGGGTGCTTTGATGTGGTTTGCTTTCTCTTTCCAATCAAGATTCTGTCATCCTTATTTCTCCCCCTCTTTTTTTTGCTCTCTAGTAACTCCTCTAGTCTTCGGCACCTATACAATCTGTTTTGCAAGTGCTGTAAAACTCTTACTAAAACTAATATACAGACTTTGATCAAACATTTCTGAAAACTACCTTCGCTACCAAGGCTTCTGGAGTTTTTCCATTGCTTTACAGAGTTGTTAGTTTTTTGTTCAGTGGAAATTATAAACAGTTCATTGCCACAAATAAGTATTCTTCAAGCACTGATGGCATACCTCAGGCTTGTGGGGCAGAGCTGGTTGGAGGTTCAGAAGGTGGTTCAGAACTGGGGCAGGGAGAGAACTCTTCTTGGTGGCCTATACCCAAGACCTGGGTGGAAGAGGCTGATGATGAGGAAGAAGTATTGGTTATGTTTTTTTGTGTATGCGAAGAGCAATAGATCAAGCGTATTCATGACACAATGCATGGGCATATGTGCAATGACGGATATGGGCTTGTATATGCACTTTTCATATTCATTGTTTTCATCAACCCTGACCTTTCTCTTGAAATTCCAAAGTTTGACCTCTGTTACATGTATAACTCAATAGGTGGGGAAATAAATGTAGGAAGATGGAAATGACATCATTAATATTATTTCAGGAACAGAAGCTAAATTAGTTGGGTGGTTAGCAGGTGTTCTGACATGGTTTGCTTCTTCTTTCTTATCAAACATCTATTGTTCTTATCTCTCCTTTTTTTCCTTTGTAGATACACTTTAAATCTTTGTCACTTTTATGGCTTATTTGTACTGCAAGTGCCCAAAAGTCTAGTAAAGCTAAACTAGAACAAAAGTTAAATCAAAAAGACCTTTTTTTTTCTCTTGTTTTTTGTTAGGAGCCAAGCTGATCTCAGTTTTTTTACACTTGTTGAAATGATTTCATAATAATTTAATGAAGGTTTTGATGTTTCGTTTTGACGTTCAAGTAACGTTTCAATTCACTCTTCTTTTGCTAAGAGTTGGCAGAGGTAGAAGCAAAATGAGAAATCCAGTACAATGTATATAACTGATGCAAAACAGGGATAGCGCTGTGACAATTTTGTCATCTCACTCAGAATGTCTTAAGTTTTGAAAGGTTTGAAACTGGTTGCTTTGTGAACTTATCCATGTAGACAGAATTTTAAGTCCAATGGAAGGTAGGGTACTCAGTCGTGGTGTGTAAGGTAGCGTGCGTGGGTGTGATGGTGTTAGGAGTACAAGTTGAGCACAAATTGGTCTTCTTCTTTCTCAAATAGTGTATGGGGATTAGATGGTGTCTGGAGTTGCTGTGTGCTGGGGTGTGATGGTGTTTGGTGTTCAGTTTGAATGTAACATGGTCTTTCTCTTCTGGCAGCTCCTGGGGTCTCGCCTGCTGGACCGTCACCGGTTCTGTGTGCTGGAGATACAGGAGTGTTTTGAGACGTACTCGCTGAGGAAGGACCAGGCAGAGCAGGTGAGAGATGGTCACACACAGACAAATTTTATATGCATTCATACTCTCATACTCACTCTCAAGCACATGCACATACATGTTCACACATTCACTTATACAATTTCTTTATTGCACTTCGATTTTTATTCATATACACAAACTTACACATACACATACACATATACACGCACATGCACACATGCTCAAGCACATACTCATACTCACACGCGCACACACGCACACACACACACACACACACACATACACACACACACACACACACACACACACACACACACACACAAGCGCAAACACAACACCCACTAACAAAGACAGACGGAATTACGCAAATTGTCATCGTATTTATTTTAGAAGTTACTATTACTTTGTCGAGGGCCTGTGTGAAGGACCTAAATCATAACAATATGAAAGCCGAAGTAACGAAACCTTTAGTATGTAACTGACTTACGTGGCAGAGGCAGGAAAGGAGGCGCGAAAAAGTG